AATTGTAAGACCATGATGATAGTATTTCAAAAACTTTTATCCCTCATTTCTCTACTTATAATATATACTTGGTAATATTCATACCTGCATTATAATAGTGCATAAAGTCAACCAAGTGGGAGAACAACATCTCATTAGCCACCACTTATATCCACGCCTTTTTATGTTTTCAACAATCACGATACAAAAAGAAATCATGATATAATATCATGCTACGTTCGAAAAAAAGCGGATTTAGGTATAAATGTATTTGGTGGTTCACTATAATATTACTACAATATATCAGAACTTTTTTTTAATTATATTTAAAATCTCTCATGAAAAGGATTTATGGTTATAACTTATAAACTATAGGTATTCAACGTTTATTAAAATAATTCTATGCAAACAAAACACATAAACCTAAATGGGTGGATTCTTATTACAAAAATGACTTTTTTTTAAATTCATTACGTTTTGTTCAATTGGAATAGTTCCTAACATTACGATTGAACGAAATATTATTATATCTACGTGGATACATTTTATTACTGAAATAGGTGTTTTTATTTCATAAAATAACGTCAACACAAATAAATGTCTATACTTATAATTTATTAGTATTTGATGGTACTGTATAGTAACCATAGTTATTATAGTGAAATACGATTTGGTGAAATCGTCTAAATTCACTGCGGAAATTAACCAAGCAAACCAATATGGCAGTATCAATTTATACCTTCTAAGTGCAGCATGCCAGTATTTTACATTTTAATTACAGATTTCGAATTGACCGACTCCGCCTAGTAGAGTTTATAGTAAAATGAAGACATCGTGTTATTCTATTCTAATAGCGACTAATGACAAACATGAGCACACTAAGTTGTTGTTAAACGCAACGTTATTTGGCAACCAGAATTAATGTATAAAATATATATACTATGTATAATATATGCATGTATAAATAAATGCACATTTTTAAAAAAAAATTGTTTTTCCAAATACACATGAATTACATCATATAATATTGTGCGTATCAAATGAGACAAGCTATTTTTCTTTTTCGTAGCAGTAGGGATCGGTAACACATTTTTCAGCGATTATAAAATATGTAGAAATAAATTGTTTTCGCAGTTTCTGAAGGTTTAAAAATACTACTGCTTTGAAATTGTACTCGGATTTGAATTGCTATTATCTTTGGTTACAATATTGCTAACAAGTGGTCGATTGCGAATACTTATGCTTGTATACCTATTACGTATATAGATACTAATCCTATACTAATCAACATGAAAAATACCAACTAAAAAACGTTAATGTCCCGTTGATAGGTACTTGATAACAAATTTAAATACCGGGGATGCCACTCTGCTGTGTAGTAAGTCCCGAGTGTACCGCACCGTTGTGTAGGTCATTGTAATGAATATACATCAAATTTGAATTCAATGATAAAATATCATTTCATACCAAAAACGATTATAAGTACTGATGATTGGACTATTTCGATGGATTTTTTAACATTTATATACAGTATTAGTGATTAGTGATTGATGTGACTTGGTGTAAATTGTTGAGTGGGGTGTGGTAGAATGTGGTAAAACTAAAAATATATTAGGCAAAAAGACATTATTGACCACTCAGTAAGATATCTCGAAAGTAGTCCTCATTTCCTCCCTCCCAGATAAGGCCTGTATTATTGCTATAAGTATAATACGATAGAATGAATTCACTTTTGTAGTGAGTATATAATGTAATTACCTACATTAAGTAAAATGCGTACAAAAATTAGAAATGCGAGCTGGATAACGATATATTTTATGGTTAAAAGTTAATGTACGTCAATTTCTGTATAAAAATGGTGAAAAAATATTTATATATAAAGTCGTATAGATTACACACATTGGGTGGCCGTATTATGTTAACAGTTCCCATCTGTTTCGATCGAGGGAAAAACTAAGTTGCATACACGCTTTCATAAAAAATTGGAAAAGGTTAAAAATTAAACGTATAGCTTGTCGGTATCTACGTTATACAAAGATTTTAAGAAAAATAATCACACATATACAAAGATAAAACATTTACCAATTATGCACTGAATTGAACGTAGGTACATTTTATATTGCACATCTCTAAAATTGATCGATTCGTCAAAACTATAGATAAATCTAATGAATATGTATAATGGATAATATAATGGATCTCTACCATTCGAATAGCGCAGTGCGTCGGCGCAATGACACGGCGTTGAAATTTAAATTATTGTTGTTATTATTATTATTATTGTGCGTTTCCAAGTAGTCTTAAAGCATGACGTTATAGCGTCGTGAACGACGGAAGTTTGGACGGACTTATCACGGTTTGTGTGCATTTGTATTGTACATTTCTACCGAAATGGACGCCGGCCAATAAATATATTGTCGTTTCTGGCCACGCGGCATGGGAACACGGCTGGTTATTAATATATATAAATGGACGTTTTCAGAAAATAAACTCAAACCACACAGTGTTTACAATTTAAATCACAAAATACTACGCACGTCGCTAGGACATATTTTGGACATAGCGAACGATTAGGGTTAACTATAACAGTATAATGTACAACGAAACACGTTTTAATTAAACCATAATATATAGATGCATCATCGCATTACATACAATATTTTATTCGTTTCGCGTTTTCATCACAAAATACTTTAGACTAGTACTATAATCATCACTGACGATAACTGACGATAAACCTACAGCAACAGGATTCAATTATTGTGCGAAACCTGTCACGGTGTGCGATTTTTCGACCATATGCGACAACAATATTATTCGCACCACGCCATATAGATACGTAGATATCTATAGGTACTATTGTGTTGTAGATATGCGCTGTCGTCGTCGAATCAAACTCCGGAGTTGGTACATTTTTTGTGTAACCCGACCATTGATTTCATATGACGTTCTCAAAGGTCGCTATACTTGCTGATGATCAAAACTGAAAATAAACCAACACTCGTATATATTTTAATACGGCATTGTTCTGGAATTGCGTCCCATTGGCCCAATAAAATTCTTAACCAGACGATTCTTGTGCCGCGTTGTACAATATTAAAACACAGCATTTTTCTCGATTTCCTATATACTAGAATCTTGAATATATTATAAACAAAAATCATGAAAATTGCTTACTTATTAGTCGATATATCAAATAACTCTTTACATTGACCGCATATATTATCTACTATTATGTATTATAGTCCTAAACCGAAATTTTAATTAAAAATAATATTTCGTCTGCTGGATTCGCAGGTATCGTAATAATACTCCACAAGAGTTAAGATAACTCCATATGCTCCATACTTTTCATGAAGAACAAAAAAGTTATCGTTGGCTTAAAAACATTGGCCTCCTAAGAAATATAAAAATTAAATATCATACCCATGTAGTTTATAGAAATGTAATACTATTAATACTAAACACAACTCATGTGATCATGCACACACGTATGATTTTAAAATACTCCCTCGAGCCGCCATAAATATTATATTAAATTTTTTGAAACTTGAAGTTAGCAGGTTAAATTGGCCTCCTAAGAAATATAAAAATTAAATATCATACCCATGTAGTTTATAGAAATGTAATACTATTAATACTAAACACAACTCATGTGATCATGCACACACGTATGATTTTAAAATACTCCCTCGAGCCGCCATAAATATTATATTAAATTTTTTGAAACTTGAAGTTAACAGGTTAGATTTGTTAAAAATATAACTATAGTTAAGTGAAAAATTAGGTTCAAGAAAAAAAGTGAAGAGTTATTTACCTAGTTTAATTAATATTAACTTTAATTTAATTTTTAACTCATTAATGCCCAGTCTTGTTTTTTGGTGTGTTGCATATGGCCTTCTGAAACCTTTTATTCGCCATTGTTGTCCGCCGGTTTCTCCATAGACCTTATATGTACTACTAGACAAGCAACGAGTGTATATAGAAAGCGTAACAACACAGAGGGTGCTTTTTGTTTAATCGTTTACTCAATATGTATGTTAGTGCAGTGTAGTGGGGTAACGTATGTAGATATATTGTATTTATTGTATTTTATCGTCGAAATACATTTCCTGTATAATGATCAATGGAAATCAATGATTTAACTTTTTTTTGTATTAATGTATTTTCTTTCACATTCGCGACAAACAAGCGGTTAGGAATGTCTAATAGAAGATTCACTTTGAGTCACAAATCGAAGATTGCTGTATACAGTATATATAATATAGTTTCAACAGAATTAAATAACGAGATGCTGAGGAACGAGACGGAATTAACGGTGTCGTTATGTGCATACGGTAATTATTATAATGATTGTTGGCGGGCCACAAGAAATATACAAATCTGGTTTTATTATTTTTCAAATCATGTGGACAGCCCGTCCTACGGATAAGAATCAGTTGACGATATTCCGTGCACAACCCAGTGGCACAATATTATACTACAATTTTTATTTCGGCGCACGATATAATATTATTGTCTCTCCACATTGCATTATTATTATGTACACCGTGGACGGCACGTCACCGTGATGACGGTGTGGGCCTTGGATGGTCGGCGTTTTTGTCACAGCAGTTGTGTACAGTTTCGACGCTAAATTAAGCCGTGTGCCCTGCTCCCGCCGAGATCAACCCCGCCGGCGCGTTGCAAGTGATAATATTGTATACATTGTTGTTTGTTATTTACGGCGGACTACCATAAAACGTGTATAAAACATATATATATATATGTGTGTGTGTGTGTGTGTACATTATTCTTATACGCCTTGTCGCCGCCGAAACGGAATTCGTTTTTCGACGAACTGCGCACAAATAGAGAGGGACAGGGCAAAAGAATGAGTGCTGCTCGTGGGTGTGTATGTGTGAGTGTGTGCGTGTGTGCGTGTGTGCATGTGTGCGTGTGAGCCTTTGTGGGGGTGGGTGGGTGGACGGGGCAGAGTTGAGAGAAGGTCGGTCGGCGTGGCTAAACACAATGATGTACGATAATCGTTTCCGCGACACACATCGGTCCCGTTCCGCGATTCGACGATCGTCCCTCGCCCGTAGGTACCGGTTCGCGAGAAAGGGTGGAGCGTCCGCTCTCGGAAGGGATGATAATACAATTTAGGGGTAAGGGCTCAATTACGTCTGCGTATATAAAATCCAGATTTCTGCTTGACGGCTTACTGTCGAAACCGCAACACACCGTCACGGAGAACCCGTCTGCAGCGTACCTATCGTTCCTGTGCAGCATCGACGACGAACCACTCGAACACAACAACTCGACATCCGCATCACCGGCCGTGCCATCTCTGATTGCATTCGATCTCCGATCCGAAGATTTTTGTTGTCCGTCCGCGTACTAACGAGGTAATTATTGCTGTCGATATTATTATTTAATAATTATATCGTTTTTGCGATCCGGCGTCAGGTTTTATAAAATTATTTTGTGCCGTCGTCAGTTTGGTAATCTTAAAAAAATATCGCGTTTATCGATTTTTATATTTAAATAAATAAGTAGTAGGATAATTTATTATGCTTGTAGATGGGCACTTTTGTTTATGAGTAATTGAATTTTCAAGCTCGTTTATTAGTTTACTGAAATTTCAACAATGCTCCGAATATAATTTTAATTATATTATTTTTAAAAGATTCGAACACAAAACGTTTAATGTACAACATAATCATTGCCATCCGAGATAATATTATACCTAATATAAAACGAATTTGATTAAAACAGAAAAAACACTTCCAATTTCTAAAAAATACCGTATAATCTTGTTTGCAGATAAATAAAAAAAAATGTTGTAGAAATTGTATTAATAAAGTAGTAATATATTGCAATAAAAAAGCATTACTTTATATTATGTTAAATATAAGTGTGTGAATATTTATTTAATTATGACGTAGTATTAACTTTTGATTATAATAATAATAAATTTAGGGTTGCATTATTAGTTTTAAGTAATATTAATAATACATTAAATGTTACGAAATTTGTATAGTAACTAAAAATATTTATTTAACTTCAAAGCAATTTCGTATGCTCTTCAAGTATGCACAAATACATGATCGAGTTCGTGTTTACTGCACTACTTACCTATTATAAATAAAGGGTAAAAAAAATTAACAAAAAACATTTTAATGTTCATCAAATACGCGTTTCTTCTACGTAACAACTCTGTTATGATTTTGCAATTTTGTTTATGATAAACAGTGTGATGCAATTTTGAAATCGAAAATAAGATCGTTCGAAACCCCTCTGTTTTCGCGAAATAATTGCGATCCACTATTGATTTGCGATCATTATCGTTGTCTTCGGAATTTCCCTTGGCCTAAATGTACGTATTGTTTTCGAGCAACGTGCCAAGTTTATCTGTCAACGCAAAATGTTCAAAAATGTCAATCGAAAAAAACTATATTATACAGGTATTATATTATTATATTGTTTTAACGATAAAGATTTTCGGTAAATGTTTTAACCATTTTTCGAATGTCCGTTTTCCAATCAATGTCGTATTGTTGTTTTTACGAAACGTTCGTTAGAATAATATATTTCATAAATTATACCTCTAAAATATATGTTTACCATCTTTGAAAACAAACAAAAACCCATTGCTTGAACGCCTGAAAAAAACATACACATAAAGACATGTGTGTATTTTACTCTAGGAAATGAGGAAATGTATCTGTGCTTCAATAGCCGGACACATCAATGGGATTCGGTCTCGGACCACAGCCCGGTAATGGGTTTTTAATGACAATTTTTTGACACCACATGACATGACATGACTGCTGCACTAGACCCTAAGACGATAATTATTTCGGTTCATTGGCACGTCACGTGACCATAGTGGTCGGATCTCTCGACTGTAGAATAATATCTTGTAAAGAAATATTTCAAACAATGTGTGCCTTGTCTATACATTTTCCCCGTTTTTCGACGTGATTTAATATTGAACATTTTCGTTTTCGCGTTTACGTTGTTGCAGACTCAATCATGTCTTCAAGCTGCACTTCGAAAACTACCGACTACTACTATCAGATGAGGCAGAAGAACAACGAGGCTGCTAGAAACAGCCGTTTCAAGAAGAAGGTTGCCGAAATCGAAATATCCGCTCAAAAGCGCAAGTTGGAGGTGACATACGTGCAGTTGAAAAAAGAAATCAAACGCATACAAATCGTGAAAGCTTCTTAAACATCAATCAGGTCAGTTTAATATATTGTATTATATGTATTTTTACTTGTATAATAATATGACGAATAATTAATGATAAATAATTATGTAAATCTTCGGGTGGAACAAAATTTTAAATATTAATATCGCAATAACATTATGTATAGGCATATTATTTGTAAATATTAAATGGTAATTTTCGACATCTGGCTGTTGGCCTGAGATGTGGGTGGCCAATTTGATAAATGTGATATTTTTCGAGAGATCCGGGGTGAGGGGGGAGGGCTTAAATTTCTGCGTAACATTCGTTACAGCTAGTATCCTATATATATGATAATCAGTCACGAAATACACACATTGTAGAATTGATGTACAAAAAAAGATTAGCCCTATCGGATCCACCAAAGATATATTTTTATGTTTGTTATTAAAATTACGTACGCCATCGACAAGAGCGAACTCAAAGAAACATATAACAACCACTTTAAAATCATACAGTAAAATACTAATTAAAATATACGAATAAAATTGCAGCGGAACCTCGATAACTCGAACGTCTATGAGTCGAATTTGGGATAATTCAAAGTTATGTCTCGGACAATGCACTTCAATATGTACCTACACACATTTTTTTTTGTACAAAGTGGAATTTTCGATTACCCGATTTTCACTATTTCTCCGACGAGTAGAGTTATCGAGGTTTCACAGTAGTTCCAAACCAAACGCGCCCATAATAGTTGTTGACGTAAATGTTTTGCAATAGTGCTCCAACGGGGGTAACATAATCCAAAAGGTATAATGGACGCGATGTCCCCGGGCGGTATACGGATTAACTAAAAAAAAAAAAATGGTCGAGGGACGTTAAAAAAAAAAATAGTTTCTTGCCGAAGTTACTATATTATTATTGTTTTCTCGGCCATTTTTTATCGATTTTCTCTTTGAACCTGTTGGGATGACGTCCGAACCGTATAAAATACCATTTGGGTTCAATTTCCAATCTATATGGATAAACAGTAATAATGTCCTTCGGTATAAATAAGAAGAAAAATGACGTGGTTTTATTTTATTTTTGTTATCGATCTTATATTCTCGAATAGGCGCATTGGCACTCCTACGTTTTTCAAATAAATCAGCAAATACCTAGAACTGAACTCGACTTGGACATTTTCGTTTTTTTCCTCTTGATATTCATTCGCTAATCAAATTGCTTCATGGACGCACAGCACTAAATTACAATTTGACAGCAACATCCCTCGTAAACATCTGCACGTGTGCCCACATATACCCTGTGCAGGACAACCGATGTCGTAATTAGGTCCCCCGCTAGGCACCACGAAAATGACGTCCAACGATCTCGTACATCCCGTGCCCTGTACACAATATAATCGTATACGCCATTATATTGCGACGATGACGAAATTATTGCAGTACAGTGAAATTTGCTCTTTTCGGTTTTGACCTTCGAAATACCGTGGCGGTTCCCGGGAGACTTGCGGCACCACAGAGCATTGTGTTGTGTGCACGAGCGACCGTTCTTAATCGTTTTGTGTGCTTCATTTTTGGCCGATTGTACAGTTAAACGAATAGGTATTTGGCGAGGACGAGCATAATATAGTGTACAATAATAATAATAATAATAATAATATATATAATATATATGTATATTGTATGTATATAATATGCGTACGAATTGGAGAGTGACCGACGGCGGCGGCTGACTAACAAATTGTCGGATATTATTATTATTATTATACACATCACGAAATCCTTTTCGTCGCGAACATTTTTAAATATTACGATTTCCTAGGCTCTCCACCAACACCTTTACGTCGTATTGTTATATAATATGGTGCATGACAAACGGTCCGTTTCGGGTCGAAACGGTAAAGCGTACAGGACATAATAGGCACACCTGTTCAGGTGTGTGTGCATAATGCTGCATATATATATATATATATATATATATATATATATATATTATTATATTGTTATGCGAATAATAAATAATAATTTTAACCCGTACCTGGCCGTATCAAAGCGACGACAGGTAGTTGTGCGAGGGTCGTCGTCACTAACTCTCGGGGTATTGTCAAGCGGAGAGTTCGATTTATAGTGTAATAATAATCGTGTATTATTATTAAAATATGTAATCATAATTAGGCTTAGGCCGCCCGTCTCCTATTGTACATAGTAATTATTTATTGTTACAAATATTACTGCAGTATGTAAATGCCGGGTTTGACAATTGCAGTTCATTAAACATTTTTATTTTACACTCCAGATACACTCGGAACAATATATTATATTTTTATAATCTATAATAAGCGCTGAGGGGGAAACCGTACAGCCATATATAGGTATTTAAGTTACGTAAGAAATCGTGTTGTAAACGCGGCATTTGATTATACTATAATATTTTGATGTAGGTACATAATATAAAATAATACGAATACAATACCATGCTGATGTTTACACAAACGGTTTAATAAGCAACACGCAATCGTATTTGTCGAGCAACGAAAATAATAATAAAATTATAAAACCATTGTCAAAAAATAAAACATCGCCGAACCCGTCCATAACCGATATAGGTAATAATAATACGTCATATTTTTTGTCGCGTGCAAACAATACCTACAATGTTTACACTAGACAGACCAGCGACGGTTATTAGACACGGGTGGGTACTTACGTTGGTGTATGTTTTGCTAGCACCGTGTGTGCCTCTCTTGTTTGTGCATCGAATGCCGATTTGCGGTATTTCTGCAAGACGTTTAAGTGACTAATAATCATTGTTAAAAAAAGTCATGCATAACAATAATATTATTATGTTATTATTATTATATGTTTATATATGAGATCGTGTACATAATATTATGCAGTATATGCAATACAATTTATTATTGTCGAGGGAGCAATGAATTGTTGGCAGCGTTCAGTATTTAGTACTCGCGTTCCAATTGTTGTCAGCATATTTACTCTTTCTTTTCCTCGAGCCAAACATCGCCGCCCAATAATATTATATAATGACGTTTTGATTATTCGGACCCATAATGAGTTATTTCGACGTTTCAAATTATTGTCACATAAAACAATTCATTAAACCTCTATATGACTGTTAACATAAAAACATAAAATACATGTACTTGCATGTCATACATAATAAATAATAATACACTTTTATTTATTAGGCTTGTTTTTGCATAAATATATGTGTATATGCATGCACATAGGAACTTTTTTTTAATGGGTCTATCTTTTTTTTTTTTATCGCAATAGATAACAAAAAATATGTTGTCTGGAATTTTGTAGTAAAAAAAAAAAATGTTAAAGATAATCACGTTCGACGTATTACCTCAAATTGTGTAACAATTTGATAAAGTAGGTAGGTAGTGATTCGTTTGAAAATCATTTTAAAACTGAAACACTAATTAAATAAGTGGTCAATTTGTGGCCCAATATGTGTAAATAACTCAAGAAGCACCACACTTTTACCATTTTGATACACTTAACTCTCTATTAATTGAATTGTTGAACGACAACTTGAGAAAGTGATTGAAATATTTAAAACTATAATTATTATTAGGTATTACTAATTAATTTAAATAAATAATTGCACTTTCAATTGTTCTTTGAATTTTTTAGTACACAAATAGTACCTACTTTTGAATTTCGTAAAATGTTAATTCATTATCTTTATTTTTTTTTTTTTAATTATTATTTAATACAACTGAATCACTGGGTACTTATATATATTTTATTTAGATTATACATCGTCATAATCTTTTTATTATTAAATGTTTATTTTTAGCAAATAAGTGAAAACAATTACAAAATTAATATAATAATAATCATAATAATTTGTTTACAGGCTTTTTCCGTGATAATGACTGCAATATAAATAAAAACATTTTTTCAACTGGAAATTTTAAGTAAAATAAATGATGCAAATGGATTCTGTTGAATTTCTAGTCAAATACATTGTACATCACTCAATAGTTTGACTGTTATTTCTACAGGAATGAAATACAACAAATATTTTTATTACCACTATCTATTAATATGTAAAAGACAATATTTTCAGGATAAAAATGTACTTTTTTCTTTTTAAACTTATATATTTTTATTTTTATTTTTATTTTTATTATTATTATAATATTATTTTTTTCCTATTATTATGATTCTCATTTTTTTTTTTTTTTGTAGCGTACTTAAAGTGTTTCTAATATTATTTATGTGAAATTATTATTTTTATTACAAACTTTTTTTTTCGGATTTTGTAAATGTCGGCATAATAATATATTATACACCGTACAGTTAAATGTAAAAATATACATATCTATTGAACATAATTTTGCAATCACTTTGTTTTTTATTTTTCCTACTATAATTATAAATCACATAATATCGTAAGATGTTTCAAATCCCAAGCGGATGTAGGTAATATTACTGTAATAGATAAGAATTTATTTTTTATTTCATTACATTTGGTAAGTAATTATAGGTGTATGAATTAATATTTTTAAGTCCGTATAATACCTACCTGTTAGCTGTTAGATAGGTATTTAGTTGTTGATGATTTAAATTAAAATGTTTTTTGTAACGGGCATGGAAGAAAACATCTTTCATGTTAAAAATAATGAACATTATATATTATATTTTTCAGACTTATTGAAGAGTTATATAATTATATTTATAGTTATCGGCAAGCATATACCTATCGATCGCGCATAATCGGTATACGGCTAATACACGTTGGTATAGATGTGTAATACAATTATTATCATTGCAATGCCATAATAATATAGACTTGTATGACATTATAACATGCATATTAACACGTTTAGATTTAAATCACGAATACTCCTAGCTAGGTATGTTTTAGATTGTGCGGTTAGTGTTCCAAGTGGGTACTCAAAAATGCTATCTTATAATATAACTCTTGACTATTATACGCTTAAACAAATTACTTTTACGTTATTATGGTGAAGGTTTATCGACTTCTGGTTTAGAACACGCTATTCCGTTCATCAATATATTATTATATTTTATCGCCCCTACCGCAAAATAAGTTTACCTATCCGCACAACAATATATAATTCTATAATATAATATCTCGTGTTATGCCGTTGAAAGAGGAACATGTTATTATGTTATATTATCTATAGAGCTGTTGTTATACTAATCCCACTTCTCTCCCTCTCTTCATCCGATCCATTAATATTTTAATTTTTAAGTGCACAATAATTAACAAGAGAGCAAGTACTTAACAGACCACTAGCAAAAAAAAATTATCTGAAATTTGGAAAATATACATTAATTTTATATACCATTATTATAATACTAGGATATAGGTGCACCAGTAGATAGGCGATACCTACAATAAAATAAATAGTACGCAATAATAGTGCAATGTGCAATTATTGCAACATTTGCATTAATTAAAATTTAAAAGCCCATACTTACTTAACTAATTTAAGTTGAATACAATCATGCTTTAATTATTAATTTTAACAATCCAATTGTAAGTTATCGAGTAACTAATTATAACGATTAAAAAACTGTTATATTTAACTTCGTTTTGTAAGTAAATACTCAATTTTTTCATTAATTACCTTATCAAAAATTTAAAAAAAATTAGTATTTTCGTAGATAATAAATTGAACACATTATAAGCCTATATACACAATTTACTGTAATTCAAATTTAAAATATTTATCTGGATTTTATTAATTAATTGAAGGCCAATCGCTACATTTTAGTTATAGGATTTCTAAAAAGAGTTTGATGATATTAAATACCTACATTACCTATGTATAGATAATACGCGTAAAAGTACTTATTAATAATATTGACATGACAAAAAATGTGCGATACGATAATATCGTAATACAATCACTTAAACTCCTAAGCAAAAAATGTATTCTTTGTGTACAGTTGGTAAAATATTATAAGTTCTACACCTACTAAAAATCATTGTGTGTACACAAATAAATAATGATGTATATGAGCCTCAAAATTGTTCAACACGATAAATATAGGTCTATTTTTTTGTACATTTCCAAGGAGAAAATAATTATTGAGTATAGTTTATTATTTGATTGAAATTATTAATTAATCATATAATTAAACATTTTTATTTTATTTTAATGAGTTCATATATGTATATAAGTATAATATTACGATGTGTATGACGCTTGACGTGATTGCCAGTTTGAATATTTTAGTCGTGGCTGACTGGTAGTAAAAGGGCTTTATTTAATTTAAACAATGAGTTTTATGAAATGATAAGAAGAATTTAATGAGCTATCAACGGAAATGTAAAATGTCTATTATCATTATTATTTATTAGCAAATTATTAACGAAAAACGCCTTGGAAAAAATAATAATAATGAACATATTATATTTTAATCTTATAACATAATATCATAATATACTATAATGTCTAATTGGACTTATTATTTAAAAACGGAGTGTACTGCACTACTAAAACAAAATTGTTGAAATAAGTAATAACTGTATTATTACTGTACTATTGTTTATTGTTATAATCTTATCAGTTTTTTATGGGATTAATGTAAACCAGAGATATTTACTCGACTACCTATTTTGAACGCATATTTCATTGTTTTAGTTGGGTATATAATATATATAATCAAGTACTTAATCAAAGGTGTAGATATTATAATTTATAGATTATAAGTGTGTAATCGTGGTAATCAGTGTTGATGAATTAATCATTTTACTATTCGTGTTGATTCTGAATAAAACTCTCCGAATCGTTAATAATTGACCAATGGGTCATATTTATTTGTATTTCTGCAAGATGTGCTATAAAATATTATCATACTTATTAGTTATTACAATATGATATAAATATACAATCATCATACTAGTTAAAAAGAACACTATTTAAAATTATTCAAATGTTATTGACCAAAAAGGTTACAGCGTAACTATAATTATTATAATTCGATTAGAATAGTTATAGAAATATTGTATGGTAATGCTTACTAATGAGTAATGACTTAAGTGATGCATTTGAGGGCTCCTGCAGACTATCAGAATCGTTTAATAAATCGTTTTAAATGAATTAATTATATCGATACTAAGACTCACAAAATATTATATGCGAAACAGTCTAACAAGCATATTTTTCACACGTAGGTAAAATATTACGAATCTCTCAATGACAACTAACATTTTAAAATTTATTATAAACTCATATGTCTGAAGTAGATCAGGCCAATCTAAGATTCCAATTATTTCCAACTACTCGTGCGAGAGAGAGATATCGGTTCCTCGTTTTGTAAGAATAAATATTACTACCTATATTATTCTTGTTATACCATATTGTTTAATCCGCCCATCAACAATGCTACCTTATTAAATTTATTTTTCATAGGTTTAACTACCTAGGTATATCTATAACTACGCATTTACGTATTTCAATCTATTTTAATTCGTCTAGACGCATTAACTACATTTTAATTACCTACATACGAGTTAAATTTCAAAACTATATCATTGTCTAAATGTACAGTCTTAGTTGTTACTAATAATAGGTAATATTGTTTGTATTTAACGCATCGTATTATTTACATAAGGTGCAGTATCTAGTGGTATGGGCTCGGGATTTGTTAATTTGGATAATATTATTTATTTAATACTCAACAAATTGATTAGTAAACTGGAAATATGTATGAAGTAGTGAAAAATTAAAAGACGCCAAAAAAATTGCATGTTTTTGCATGTATTGAGGTCTTAGAATCTGATCGGAGAGTTTCTAATTATTTTGTTGTTATTCAAAAAACATTATCCTCGATAAATTAAAAATGTTACATCATATATTATTATATTTTACATACGCAATGACGTTTTCAAAATACTTTCTTATTCTATGCTATTATTTATTTATACCGAGAACCAATTCACACCGTTAAAGGTAAGGTAGGCCGGTATTGACTCTGGAGTAGACAACAATATTATATAAATATAATAATTTAATAGTTACTACTAATAATATAATAAATGCAATATTTTCGTCAGAAATCAATTCTCCCTACTGCATTAGTAATGGCAAAATAATTTACAACAATAAATTGAAAATATATCATAAAACGTACTTAGTAATATAATAGGCCGACAGGCGACAGACCTTATTCACTCAGAAACGTTCTTCGTATAATATACAAAAATTTAACATTGAATACAAATTTAACACATCCATTGCACTGACCCAACTCATGGACGAGGAGCACTCGACCCAACAGAGGGGTGGTTTTTCAGAGGGATTTCCCCTCTTTTTTTATAAAATAATATGCATTATTTCATGGAAAACATATGGTTCGATGGACGACGAGGTATATAGTTTTGTTGTTTTCATTGAAGGGCAGTCAAATATTTAATAATTTTAATCATAATATGAAGATAGAGTATTTGCTAGGAACTTTCAGGTTTTTTTTTTATATTTTCCATTGGCGCGTCGTCGGTTGACGTTTGACGGGTCATCGCCGATTACTGACTAGCTACGTGCCCACACGTCAGCAGTCTCGTCTTTCGTATTTTGCGAAATCGTGTTTTTATTAATTACTTTTAATTAATTAGTAAACACTTTTTACTGTACATTTAGAACGCAAAAATGTACCTTTTATTTTGTATTTAAATTGTTTTTTTTTAATTTCTTTTTTTTATGTGTTTATACATTTTTAATTGCATATTTTCATACATGTACAGCTTTATATATATATATTTTTTGTTCGTGTTAATGTAATTTAATTTGCATACCTATTTACATTTAATCATATAACTTTTTTTATAAATATTTACGTACATGTTTTGATGATTTTCAGTGCAATAAGAACCAAGCTCTAATAATTTCAGTATGAATTATTATTACAGTCAAATACCCCAGATAAACCTTTACAATATAACATATGTACAAATATCTACTGTAAATATATAGTGTTTATTATGTATGTATTTGTTAATACTCGTTCGTCGCATTTTTCTTTAATATTATACAAATATTCTCGGTTGGAGATCTTCTCTTTGTGCCGGTGTCATATACTCATAATATCTACCCATATACAAAGGGCCAATTTGATCAAATGTTTATTTAGTTATTCTATTCAACCATAATTTGTTCATTGCACCGGGACACCGGCGCGTGGCTGCGGTGCACATAAAAAATTTAACAG